CTACTTCCGTAGTGATACTGCCTCGGAAACCCAAGGAGGGGTCGCTATGAGTCGGGGCCGACTCGATGGCAAACACAGACAGAACCTTTAAAGGACTAAGACTTTCCTCCTTCAAAGGGAGGAGCAACTGTCTCTAGTGCTACTAGTGTAAATATTTGTATGAGAATTCCAAAAGAGAAGAACTAAATTTAACAACATTTTTTGTCTAATCAACAGGACAGTTTTGGCACGTGACTGACTTGCACTTAGACCCTACCTACCACATCACAGATGACCACACAAAGGTGTGTTCTTCATCCAAAGGTGCAAATGCCTCCAACCCTGGCCCTTTTGGAGATGTTCTGTGTGATTCCCCCTATCAACTTATTTTGTCAGCATTTGATTTTATTAAAAATTCAGGACAGGAAACATCTTTCATGATATGGACAGGGTAAGTGATCAGATAAATAGTCACTACTTGGTATTTATTAACTGTGTCCTAAACTTCATTAGAATACTAAAGACCTAAAGAAGATTAAAGCTCTGGTGGTGCAGTGCCTAAGGCATTTGACTGCTAACCAGAGGCTGATGGTTCAAACCCAGTAGCCCCTCCGCAGAGAGAATATAGAGTAATTTACTTCTATAAAGATTTGCTGTTTTGGAAACCCAATGAGGGTCACTATGAGTCAGAATCAACTTGATAGCAAAGAGTTTGGGGAGCTCTTGTAGCATAGTGCCTAAGGCATTTAACTGCTAGCCAGAAAGCTGGCAGCTCAAACCCACCAGCCACTCCTTGGAAGGAAAACTGGACAATCTACTTCTGTAGAGATACCACTTCAGAAACCCAAGAGGGGTCCCTATGAGTTGGAACCAATGTGATGGCAGTTTTGGTTTTTAAAGAAGATTAATTGTTTTTAGGAATTATTTGGGTAAAAGAGACAGATAAAAGATAAAAACTTTAAAAGTCCTCTTGGATTTTTGGAATATAGACTTTAGAAATATGTTTATGCTCACTAAGGGATGAATTAATAAACAGCACACTTCTGTATAAATGTTTTGAAGTGTTGCTTAATGTGATAATAGATTTTGATTATATAAAGAAACATAAACAAAAGGTGATAGTAGGAGTTAATCTGTGAAGGCAATTTTGTAAAGTATCATCTTCTGGTGGTATAATTATCAAATTGCATCCCTCATGACAGAGTGAAGACACCTATTTTTTTCAATACCTCAGTCAATACTCATAGAGTAAACACTCTGTGCTGGGAATTGTGATAATTAATTTTGACATTGTAATTCCTCATTTAACCTTTAGGAAATGCATTAGTATTCTTCACATTTTATAGGGCACCATGCATCTAAGTGGCTTCCAGGTCTATACAGCTAGGAAGTGGCAAAGCTGGGATTCGAATCCAGGCATTTTGGCTCTGTCGTCCATGCTCTTAATTACTGCACTTTTTTGCCTCTCATAAATCTTCAGTCAATCAGTGAAAGAGACCGAGATCCCAGTTTCTTTTCTGTGTTATATTTCTATTAATTTTCTCTTTTGTAGGATTCTCTGTGGAGAGGGAGGAACAGAAGTGATGAAGAATACTTAATTCTTTTTAACTATTATCTGCTGTTTTATAGCAGAAGTCTGTAATGTTGTGTAACAAAGCCTGATGGGTATATTTTATAGAAAATGAGTTCGTTCTCTATGATTCTGTCTCTTTTCAGGGACAGCCCACCTCACGTTCCAGTACCCGAACTCTCCACAGACTCAGTCATAAATGTGATTGCTAATATGACAGCCACTCTCCAGAGTCTTTTCCCAAGTCTCCAGGTTTTCCCTGTCCTGGGTAATCATGACTATTGGCCACAGGTAAATTTTACCTCAACTTTCAGAAGTGCTCCAAGAATTTTTCTTATTAGTAATGTCAAAATTAACAGCCAGGGATGGGAGCAGGGGTCAGGGAAGTAGAGTGCCCTTAATGGTAATTGTTGAGGAAGGCAAGACAAGTGCTTTGGAGACTTTAAAGTAAATATTCTAATATTTTATAAAAAGTTATGTCAGTAGTTTTTAGAAGCACATTACCTAGTTTGTGGTTTATTAATTTCTGCTTTCCTTCATCATTATCTTCAAGTTCTCCTATTTTTTAAATAATTTAATTGTTCACTGGCATTTCTATGACAGGGTTAGCAAGGAGGGTTAATGATGACAAATGTTTACCTTTTGCAGAATTTCTTTTAGGCATACAAAGCTCTGTATACCCTGATCTAAACTTAATTGTGATTGTAAAATGAAAGTATAATGACTGGCATAAGAACTAAAGAGGGAGGTCTTTGTTCAAGCCTTTTCATCTAGTCAAGTGGTAATTCCAGGCAGACAGGGTGTTCAGAGTATTTAATGTCTGATAGAAGCTGCACTCCAACCAGTCAGACTGACCATGTGTTAATTCATCCTGTGCATAACAGCTGGTTCTACTAGTTCTAGTTTCAGGGTCTTGTTATAATACTGTAGAATGTTACATTTGTACAGATGCAAGGGATCCCAGAGATTGTTTAGTACAAAGGTTGTCAAACTATGGCCTGTGGGCCACAAGTGACTCACCACATGTTTTTGTAAATAAAGTTTTATTGGAACACTGCCATGTTTATTCATTCCATGATGTCTATGACTATTTTCTTTCAGCAATGGCAGAATTGAGTAATTGTGAAAGACTTGAAAGCCAAAATTATTTACTCTCTCACCCTTTATGGAAAAAGTTTGCTGACCCCTGCTCTAGATCAATCTTTCATTTTATAGGTGAGAAAACAAGAGGCTCAGAAATGTTAACTTGTTCAAGTTCTCACAATCACATCTCATATCCATATCCTAGGGAAGAGCTCACATTCCGTATCTCTTCACTCTAGTACTATGTTAAATTAGACCAACACTCTTTGATGCCTCTCTTGTTCTTGCCAGACTAATACACTCAGTATTTTCTGAGCATATTTAATTTCATGCCTGTCTACTTTGGTCCACATTTTTCTCTCTGCTTAGAATATCTTTTATAGCTCATGTTACCTGGGTGCTAAGTGGAGATTTTGGTTATTTTGGCTACTCCAACCTAATTATAGTGATTTTGACAAGTTGTATTCTAGGACAAGCTTAAGTTTCAAATGACTTTTTGGGACTGGCCTCTCATCTTGAGATGAATAATACGTGAGCTTTTGGGGGTCAGCAACTCAACCAATGGCCAACTTTTGTTATTTCTAAGAGGTTAGCCAACACAGTAGAGAGGCTTGAGAGCAATCTACAGGTGGCTCAAGGTTACACACATTGTGTTTATATGCCTTGAATGATAGGCAGACTAGTATAGTAGAAACAGTCTACTATAAGAGCCAGATTCACTAGCATTTAAATCCCCATCTTACTATGTGCATCAATAGCTTGGCTACTTGGGTAATTCACTGAATGTTCCTGATCCATTGGTCCCTTATTTATAAACAGAAACGATATATACTTATGACACAAAGTTTTCATGAAAATGAGTGGTGATGTATACACAAAGGGCAGAGAGTTTAGTAACTCTTACATAATGTTGTCGTTAGCTGCTGTTGTGTTGATTTCAATCCTGGTGATCCCAAGTGTGCAGATAGGACTGCACTCTATAGGTTTTTCAAGGCTGCGACCTTTTGTAAGCTGATCACCAGATCTTACTTCTGAAGCACTTCTGGGTAGGTTTGAACCACCAGCCTTTTGGTTAGTAGTCTAATGTTTAACCATTTGTGCCACTTAGACACATAGTCAGCCCCACTAAGTGGGATAGGGGCTCTAGAAAATGGGTGGTGGTTACTGTAGCTTGTCTATATGTTACATAGTCATTCAGTAGTGACACAAGGTATGTTTTACTTAAATATTTTGAGGTTATATTTCATTTATCTTTATCTGTGTCTTCTTTTTATGCAGTTAAATCTTTTAATAATTCAAAAGCAGAGATGCTAACTTCTATATCTTATTATATCTTTGGCTAGGGTAAAGCTAACGTACCTTAAACATTTAATTATTTTTCTTTCTAACTTAAGAGTTTATATCTGAAAATTCCCTTTCCATTTTTCTACTGATCTTCTCCCCCTTTTTCAGTTTTGAAAATATTAAATGTAACATGCAACATTCCAAACTATATTCTCGAGACTGATATCTGATTCTCATCAATGTTGCAAATATGCAAATCCATTATGCACCATGGCTACATAAACATACACACACAGACACATGTCCGCACCCATTACATCAGAAAGATAGGTACAGGCAGCACAAGGATTCCTTTCTATTGCTGCCCAAGGAAGTCATGGCCTGGTTCCTCATTTACTCCTACACTGGGAAGATCAGCACCACCAAACCTATAGGTGGGTCCCTTGCTGTTGCACCTCATTTCTTGACAGTGATCATATCACAATCTAAAAAGATTAGGAAGGAGCATGGTGCAATATACAACTGGATGTAAGACTGATGGTGGAAAGATCTGGGATACAGACCAGCTCTGGGACTGAGCAGCTGTCCTGGGACAAATCACCTAACTTCTCTGGTGCTCATATTTTTCATATTTAAAATAAGAGTGTGTAGAGTAATTTTTATATAATTTCAAGATTCTTCATGACCATATCAGTATCATCCATCCCAAAGTAAACAAATGACTGAGCCTTTGTTATTTTCTAATACTATTTCTTAACCAGTACTGTTACCATTTCTTAATCAGAATCTAGATTGGCCTAAGCCTTTGTTTAATTCTCAATCAGGTGATCTTGATCTCTGACATAAATTGAAAATATATTCTGGGTAATCAGATTTAATGAAAAGAAGTTGTTTGGTTGTTATTTGATCTGAATGCATATCTATTTTCATCCTACATTAGGCAGTTAGGAAAAGTCACCTTGAACCAATGTGACTTTGGTGTCATCTTGGAAAATGACTAAGTATTTTCATTTGTGCCGACAGGAAAGTGCCACGAAGAAATAGATTTATCTCTATCAGCAACACACAGAAGGAAAGAAGGAGAATAGAGAAAGGAGAGTTAGTTTTTAAATATAATTTTTAAAATTATAAGAGAAATAATTATTCAGTTTCACAAATGACTTCTTACTTTTATTTTTATGTAGTATTTACTTTCTTAAAATGTTTTGGCCTATAGCTTTTGTCACCATAAAGCCAGTTCCATTTCCTCTACTTTATGATAATAAAGTGGTTATATATATATATGTATATATACACACACACACACACACACACAATATATTCTTAAAAAATTCAAAACATGATATAATTAAAAAAAAAAAAAAACCAAAGTCACTGCCGTTGAGTCAGATCTGATTCATAGCGACCCCTCCTTGGGTTTCCCAGGTGGTATCACTACGGAAATAGATTGCCCAGCCTTCCTTCTGAGGAGTGGCTAGTGGGTTTGAACTGCTAGCCTTCTGATTAGCAGTCAAATGCCTTAGGCACTGTGGTAGTTATTTTCGTGTGTCAACTTGGCTGGGCTCCATGATGAGACTGGCAATCAGCTCCATGGTGGGATTTACCCCAAGCAGCTGAGTAGCTGCCTTTAGGAATGTGGTCTGCTTCCTGTATTTAAGGAGAAGCCTTGGGAATGGTCTCTAGTGTATGGCACGCTTGGACCCTGCATGTGGCCATGTCATTGCTCAGCAGCCTGCTATGCTCTGCCGACCTTGGGACTTAACAATGGACTTAAGTTAATAGCCTGCTGTGTGGTTTAATAACTAGGTAACTAGGTAACCAGAACAGGCACTATACCACCAGAGCCCCCATGATATTATTTAGGCTGACATAAAGGGAACTTTAAATCAAAAGTACATGGTTGCAAGTCTTTCATTCAGGGGGGAAGCTCTATAATATCTTCCTTCCGAGGAGTAGCTGTTGAGTTTGAACCACCAGCTTCCTAGTTAGCAGTCAAATGCCTTAGGCATTGTGCCACCAGAGCTCCTAAACATGAATTCAAAAATCATGACATTTTTCCCATTCCTTTGGCATATTGCACCAGACCTACACATTCAGGTTCAAACTTGCTCTTAGTATCTGTTTAGTAAACACACTTCCACGCACATCTTAGGTTCTGGCACACCACAACACGTGAACACCTCTGTATGACACACAAATTTCATGCCTATGTCTGTGTCTGGGCCATTTTTATTTTTTTCTCTGGTGCCATTTCTTTTCAACTTAGTGAAATTGTTACTCAAGGCCTGATTAAAAGGCTTTCCTGGCTCTCCACCCTGAAACTCTGGGGGAGTTGATTGTCCTTGTTTCTGCACCGTCAGGACCTCTGTGGTAGCACCCAGCATAACATACTGTTTTACAGTTTTGTCTTTCCTTTCCCAACTAACTTATAAGTCCCTTGAAGATTACATCTATCTGATATTCATCCTTGCATCTCTAGATGCCTAATGCATTAGTAAATGCTCAGGTAAAGTTTAAACTGATTACTCCACGAATCTTCTAATACTTAAATGGTGTATTATGTTGTTTTTGGCTAGGATCAACTGCCTGTAGCCACCAGCAAAGTTTACAATGCAGTAGCAAACCTTTGGAAACCATGGTTAAATGAGGAAGCTATCAGTACATTAAGAAAAGGTAAGTGAACGACTTACTTATCCATATTTTGCCTCCATTTTTATTCGTGTTGTTTACACTTAAATCCTTAATGTTTATTTGGGTGTGCCAACTCCATAGAGCCTCTGGACATGGTTTCTCTGGAGGAGAGTGAGTAGAAACATTGCTTTGGGACATTTGTTATGAACCTGTTTATCTCGTAGGGAGTTCTTGTCAATCCTTTCCCACCCTCTATTAGATGTGTTTCAAATGAAGCACAGGCTGAATTTTGGATTTGAATTTAAATAAAAGTATATGTTTATAATTAGCAAATTGATTGGAAACAGAGAATGAAAATTAACGTTTAACCAATCAGGCACAATTTTATGAAACAAACCTTTGGTAAATTGGTAAAAACTCAGAAAATGGAGCTTGGTATACTTGGTGTAGGACCTCTGGTGGTGTAGTGCCTAAGGCACTTGACTGCTAACCAGAAGGCTGGCAGTTCAAACCCACCAGCCACTCCTTGGAAGGCAGGTTGGGCAATCTACTTCCGTAGTGATACTTCCTTGGAAACCCAAGGAGGGTTCGCTATGAGTCGGGTACGACTTGATGGCATTGCGTTGCATTTGTTTGTCGTACCTGGTGTGGAGGAGTGTAAGCAGTACACAGTAAGGCCTTCCCTGGGTAGTGTCTATCAAGCCCCTACTTCAAAGTCCACAAACCCTCACTAGGCCAATCTCTGAGTTTTTGTGAGCTTAACGGAGGTACCAAGCTGCTAAATTAAAACCTCGGTGTTTTTTAAATTTTCAGACAAATATATGTCAATGTCTGGAATTCTCTCAGATCTTTTCCCCCACTATTTTTATTAAACCTTTAGATTTTACCCTTGTTTTATTTATTTGTTTGTTTGCTAGCACTCAGAGAGTCACAGAATAAATGTATTTGAGAACACCTTAGAATTAAGTAATGATCTTAATTTGTCTAGGGAGCTATGTCTAGCCCATGGGCGATGTAAACAGTTAAGGTGCTCTGCTGATAAACAAGAGATTGGAGGTTCGAGTCTAGCCTAGTTGCCTCAGAAGAAAGTCCTGGGGATCTTCTAAATATTCAGACATTGAAAATCCAGTGGAGCACAGTTCTCCTCTGACACACCACACATGAGGCTGTCATGAGCTGGAAATGACTCAACAGCAACTGACCTGGTGATGGTTAGTCCTAGGCCCCTAAACCTTCAAGACATATGAAAAGCTTGTGTAGGTTGACAACAGAGCCACAAAAATGGCCAGAAACACTAGAATGACTAATATTAAAAAGAAAGAAAGAAAGAAAAAAATAGCAATGTTAGTGAGGATGTAGGGAAATTGGAACTGTTATTCACTGCTTAGTAGAGATGCAAATGGTATAGCCACTATGGAAAATAGTGTGATGATTCCTCAAAAAACTAAAAATAGAACTGCCATAGGACTCAGCAATTCCACTCTTACATGTGTATACTCAAAAAACTAGAAAGCAGGAGACTCAAAAAGAGACTCGTCCACCAATGTTCAATGCAGCACTATTCACATTAACCAAAAGGTGGAAACAACCTAAATGCACACAACAGATGAATGGATAGACAATAAAATGTGGTGCTTACATTCAGTGGAATTCTCCTCAGCCAATAGGAAAAATGTTTCACAATAGCTCTCATTTTGTTGTTAGCTGCGGGCAAGTTGGCCTCTGACAGATGGGGTGACCCCATCTGTTACAGAGTAGACCTGCTCCATAGGGTTTTCTTGGTTGTAATCTTTATGGAAGCAGTTATTCAGGCCTTTCTTCTGCAGAACTGCAGGGTGGGTTCAAACCACCAACCTTTAGGTTAGCAGCTGATTGCAAACTGCTTGCACGACCCAGGGTCCTTTCTCTCATCTTAACTCCCCAATCATAAAAAGTAGGAGTCAATATATTAATCTTTTCTTAAACAATAAAATAAAATTCACTGACTTATCACCTAATGCCAAAACATTTAATTATCTTCTCATCTGAATATTGGATACAATTTTTGTTACCGTAATATGCAGAAGTGGCATGTTGGACCTGACACATTGTTGGGTTCCCCTTCACCAGGGCTCCCCCAACCCAAGGGATAACGCCACCCAAAATCACTCACGAAAGACGTCTCTTGATGCAAAAGCAGGAGGAGTTTATTCGAGGTACCAGCGCGCTGGGGCTCCACTCATATCCCATGCGGGGGCAGAGGAGTTGAGCAGCCAGCAACAAAGTTACACAGTATTTAAAGGCAAAACTACAAGGGGGTGGTCAGAGAGAGAGAGTACAGCTGATTGGTAAGTTTAAGTTTGAATTCTCCAATTACGTGGTATGGTTGAGTTCAGGGCTTAGTCATCCTTGCCTTGCCCCTGTTCCTGGAACTGGGGCCCGCCCTTTTGCTGGCCTTAATAGTGGCCTTTTATTGCAAAACTATATTAAATATTACATTTCTAATTTCGTATTTACATTTTTAATTCCACAACATAAGTTCAATAATGGGTTTAATAAATGTTTGTTAAATCTAATGACAGCCTATGAATGTGCAAACAAAACCACAAGAAATAAGTACAATTTTCCTGACAAGATTGTAAATCTTAATTAACAATTTGCTTTCACAATGTCTGTGTATATATGTGCATGTTTTCCTAAAATGTGTTCTGAATTTGTTTTTATAGGTGGTTTTTATTCACAGAAAGTTACCACTAATCCGAGACTTAGAATCATCAGTCTAAACACAAACTTGTACTACAGCCCAAATGTTGTAACCCTGAACAAGACTGACCCAGCAAATCAATTTGAATGGCTAGAAAACACATTGAACAGCTCTTGGCAGAATAAGGAAAAGGTAGATCACATAGACCAAAATCAGCAGGGAATCCACAGGGGGCTAAAGGGGAGCTCTGGTGGCATAGTGCCTGAGGCACTTGGCTGCTAACCAGAAGGCTGGC